AAAGAAAAGAAAGAAAATAAGACGTTTGCATTAATTGTCTTACTTATTCTCATGAGGGAATACAAATTTGAATAAGAAATTAGTAAGAAAGTTCGCGAAGCATCTTGGTAGTGGGAGTAAAATGACGACATCATGCAAACGTATGAATGACAGAATCTCTCTACAAAACCTTTAAATCAAGGAAAAGACCTAACATGGTCAGCATGGGTGGCGTGACGGTGAACGCGCTCGCTAATGCGACCCGGGTTCGAGTCCCGACGAGCTCGGTGTTGTATGTTGTTTGTTGGTTCTCTCCTTTGCTTCGGGGGTTTTCCGAGCTCTCCAGCTTTCCTCCTTCAGCAAAAAATCAACTTCTAAATTCCAATTTGAATCCAGTGGAAGAAGAGCCACTCTGTGGAAATGCCACTGTTAATCCCATTATTATTATTCATTATTATTACAAGGGCGGATCCAGGGGGAGGGTCGGGGGGGTCGCRACCCCCCTGTCATTCCTGAGGTCAAATGGGCTTCTTGTGGTAAAAATGCGACTGGGATTCCTTTGCCCACAAAATTTACCCCTGAGACCCCCCTTCAAAAAAAACCCTGGATCCGCCCTTGTATTATTACAAACTCTACTCATATGTGTTAACGAGTCCAGGAATCGAACCCAAAACCCCAGAGGTGAGAGGCAAGTGTAATTACTTAAACGTTGATTATCACATTACATAAAAAAATCTCTAAAATGTACATAAATTTATTTACACTCTTGGCTTTTCCCATTGACTATTTGACCGCTCTACCCAGTCCATAATATAATACGACAAACAAAAAAACAAGCCCTGCAATGATGTAGCACATAAGCTTTCTATTTGATTTCCCAGAAGCGATCATATGAGATAGTCTTTGTGCACTTCCAGTAAGTAGGCCAGCTGCACCACCAAAATCATCGCCCTGTCGAAAAAGTAGCAATAGTTGGATCTCACTTGACGTCATTTCCTGTCTCGTTTGGAATGGTAATCGGCTGAGGCCCCGTCAACACTATGCCGGATAAATTTGAATCCGCAACTTTCACACCGAAACCGAAAAAAAAGTTTTCCGTCCACACATGAAAACGGATAAGATGTTTCGCGTCCACACTAGTCCGATCAGAGGCGGCAAAAACGCTTCATTGCACATCTGAGCATGTGCATCGAAGCTGAAATTGAGCCTGAGGTGAATTTTTAGCGTTCCCGCCATGTTCCCATGACAATCATGACGTCATTGCATTTGAAAAATTTCGGATACGAAATGTTCTCCGTCCATACTAATGAGGCTAGCCGACGTTTTCAAATTGTTCCACTCTGAGAAGACCGTATTCGAAAAAATTCGTTTTCGGTGAAGAATTGTTTGCCCGGACTAGTGTGGACGGTAGGCCTAACCGAATAAATAAAAATTCGAATTAAAATTTTTATCCGGCATAGTGTGGACGGGGCATGAAACACGATTTTCAATCTTTCTGGTTGACAGCACATAGTGGTCAGTGTTTGACCACCATTTGAAGCAATAATGACCACCAATTACTGAGTACATATTGTAATATAAGTTACACTCAATCTCGTACCCAAAGCCTACGTTTTTTCTGGCCTGCAGCAAAAAACGAGGTCTCTGACATAATCCATTTTTGAGTCCAGGGTTTCTTGGACTTTCGGTATAAAAGCGCATGTGTTTAAAAACTTGCCAAAAATAAAAGTAATGTTTTTTTCCGATTTCTAATTTTTATTTTGATGGTAAATAAGTAAACACGGAACTGATCTGCTTAAGAGTATGATTTTCATTGATTATGCCAGCGCCCTCGTTCTTCACCTCAGACCAGAAGAAATGCAGGCTCTGGTACGAGATTGAAGTTACACTGCTTTATAAAATGTGTGAAAACCAGACATATCAAAGCTACCAATAGTCCCCTTCACGTTTTCTCTGCCATGTTCAATAAACTATGATAATAAACATCAAAACAAGATCAGAGTTAATATTAACTCTGACAAGATGAACGGTGTCAGAGCCACATATTTACCCCGGGGGGGGGGGGGGGTAC